TTGTACAAACAGCCCCAGCAATTTAAAAAAACATCCAGTTATTGTTTGACAGTAAATTAATGTTTTTTGGTGTCTTAAAAATGAGCCATTTCAAAAACATTTTGAATGTAACGTCACTAATCATCAGGCACTGCCCATCATTTAGCAACCTCAGCAAAGCCCAGCCTGTTACCTAGCAACCCTAGCTGAGCTCCAGCACGTTTGGTCAGCTGGCTTTACTCCTGCATGCACTACAATGGCTACTTGAAATATGATTGTTTTGTTGTTTACCATTCAGAAACCCCTTGCTACAGCCTTGCTGATTATACAGGAGGCTCCACTTCTGCTTTACAAAGATGTAAAGTTGTGCATCATGCAAGTGTAAATGTTGAGCTGGGGGTCATGGCCAGCAGCAGCTTCTTTGGATTTAAAGTGACAAGTGGCCCTAAAAGAGCTCAAAGTAGGCAAAACTGGGCAGAATGAAGTCTCATTAACTAAGAATGATTTTTTGCAAAAAATGCAATGAACATGTTTTGTGTAGCCCCCAGACTTATCCTAACCAATCCTTTTGAAGCATAATAGATCACCTTTAACAGGTAAACAGACTTTTATATTTTAATAAATGAGTGTTTAACTTCTTTTTGTTTTCTTTTTGCTTAAAGGAGAGGGTCCGTTTCCTGCTGTGTTGGATCTGGGCTCCTTAAGGTCAGAGAAAAGGGCCTCTCTGCTGGCCAATAAAGGCTATATAGTTCTTGCTTTACCCATACTCGCTGGAAAACCCAAACTGGAAAGGATTAATCTGGACGATTTCGAAGAAGCAGTGCAGTTCCTACAAAACCAGCCAAAGGTGACGAGACACATTAAGTTTCCTAGTTTCCATATAATCACTTTATGTTAAAGAAACAAACTAAGAAATTGGACAACATGCAACATCTCATCCTTCCTCCTGTATTCTGGGACCAGGTTATAGAAGACATAACTTCTATATTCAACGGCATGTCGGCCCAGGTCAAATCTTTCAGGCAACAACTTTAAAGATGTTTAACACACTTATAGAATACATTTATTTTTTTGTTGCTGAATAAACTCTCATTGAAAAATGTACAATCCATCCCTCTATTGTCAATCCATTTTCCAGACTATCGATTCGCCCATCCATCCGTTCCTTTTTGTTCAACTATTTATTTATTTTTTCTTTCTCTGTAAGCATATTGTATAATATCCATTCTTAAGGTTCTTTGGATACTGAAATCAACTGGTATTTAACCCCAACCCTAAAAATGACAAGGAGTCTCCCTTTCAGACATGGTTTGTTATTACGCTTAGTTTTTGTTGGAGTATTTTGGTTGTTGCTTACTTTGTTTTATTTATTTATATTTTGTTTCTGTTGTTTTTCTCATGGTTGAAGTAAATAATAAAATTCTATTGTCTATCTGCTATAAACCCATAATGAAATCTTAGTTAAACTCAATCCCTGCCAGATTTAGATTTAAATTAATCTTTAATTTGGGCAGGGTGTAAACCTTTTATTTTGGTTAAATGTAAATAATAAGAGAAGCTATTCCTTCCAGAATAATAAATTTTTAATAGTTTTATTACATATTTTGTCAAATGTCTCTCTCATTTCTTAATTCATTTTTATTCCTAATCCTCCAAAGAACCCGGAAGTTTGGACTCTAGAGCATATTAGAAAAAATATGGTTACAAAAGGAAACATTTAAAAAAAAATAAAAATAAATTAATGACCTTAATAAAGTGTCTAACTTTTGTTTTAAATGACCAAATATCAATCAGCTTTTAAAGTGCTCTTGAAAATAAGCAATCACATTTTCTTTTAATGTAGTTAGTTTTTCTAACTGTTGAAGTGTGTATTTGAATAGTCCTTTCATTCCTGAACTGTCTGTTTTGGTCATTATTTTTTAATTCCATGTTTTTTGCAGGTGAGCAGTAAAGGAGTTGGAGTAATATCCCTATCCAAGGGGGGCGACATTGTGCTTTCTCTCGCTGCTTTTGTGCCCGGAGTTGAAGCTGTGGTCTGGATCAACGGCTGCTCAGCTAACACAGCCTTACCCCTGTATTATAAGAATAGACAGATTCTCTCAGCATTGAAGTTTGACATGGACAAAATGCTTTCCACTGAGTCGGGAGCCCTTGTCACCAAATATTCCATGCATGATCCTCTGAAGGAGGAAAACAAGGCATCCCTGGTGCCTATCGAACGAGCAAGTGCACGTTTCCTGTTTGTAGCTTCAGAGGACGACTTGAACTGGGACAGCAAGGCCTACATGAACGAGATGGTGGACAGACTGAAGCGTCATGGGAAGGAGAACTTTGAGAGTGTGAGCTACCCTGGAGCCGGGCATTGTTTAGAGCCCCCGTTTGGACCGTACTGCCCTTCCAGCTTCCATGGGTTCATAGGTGTGCCGGTCCTGTGGGGAGGGGAGCCCAAGGCCCACGCTGCTGCTGAAGTCCATCTATGGAGGAAGATCCAGGAGTTCTTCAGAACTCACCTAAGCTGTGACAAAATTCAAATTAAATCCAAGTTATAGTGCTGCTGTCCTTCAATCAAAAACCAGCCAAGATAACTAAAAGAGAGTTTTGGGCTGAAAGGAAGATCCATTACTCCAAAAAAATAAAACAAAAAAAAGCTAGAGTACAGTTTGAAAATCCGCTAATAAAGCAAACCTTAATTCAATCTATATAAACTCATGTTTTTGAAAGCTGTTTTTAACTGAAATCACTATTGTTATACCATTTAGCAAATAGAAATATTTCAGTTGTAATAATGGGAGCCAATCGCTTGACCCACATACAGAACACACTCAGGAGACTGAGAAAAATCAGATGAATAAAGTTTCTTTTGAACAAATACTGAATGAGTTGAATGTGTGGTTCTTGTCCTGTAACTGAAGGAGCACTGAAGGCAGTGGAGACAAGAGGCAAGTTGACAGTTTTGAAACAAAGAAATGATGATAGTTAAAGTGCTTAGTGATCTGGTTGGGATTCTCCACCAGCGGGGAGGGTAAGGTCACTGGAGCTAGGTTCCCTGGTGAGGGAGAAGAGGTATAGTCCAAGTTCAGATGATCGGAGAAGTAACGCGATTGCTGGAAGCTGTGGGTTGATATTTTTGTTGAAGGGCGGACAAGAAATAGCAGAGGTAGTGAAAAGAGGAGCGGTTCGTCACCAGCCATGGAATGAGGTACCAGAGAATCTTGGAAAACTTTCAGTCGTGAAAGTGAGTAACTCGAGTAACACAATGGGTATCAGCCAAGGCACCATGAGAGAAAAACCTACGAGGAGACCAAAAGGTAAGCGCAGATGAAAAAACTGGAAGAACTCAGAGAGGTGCAGAATACCATAACAGGCAAACACTCAGGCACTGGAGGACTGATGATCGGCTCCTCTTATACTCTGGCAGATGAAGCCGATTGCTTGCATGAGCATCGACACAACACCTGAGACCTCCCTCCAGGAGACAGCAGCCTCCTGAATCCCACTGGTGGAAGACTGCAGAAAAACAGCATAAACAACAAAAAAATAATCAAAAACAACAACCTCAAAAACTCCAATTCCCAACATCAGCAACCCTGGCAAAAACTTAAAAAGTTTGTTACAGTTAATATCAATTAGAGGAAAAATAGGTTTTATGTCGTTTTCTACGGTTTTAATTCATGAAAGTTGGGAATTTTCTGGAAGTGAATTTGTGGAAGTACTGTCATATTGCCATAAAAATTAAAATTTTTGTAGATTTTTTAACTAAATGCTTTACGTAACATTAATTCTAATAAAAAACATTCTGAGAACTGATTTTTATGTTTCTCAGAACAGTTTTTAAATATATGCCTTCTCTAACACACCTGAAATATATTCCTTTAATTGTTTTTTCTTTTTTTTTTTTTTTTACCACATTCTTGGGAAAACACAATTTCTTGTCCCTAGTTTATTACAGTCATGTTTTTTAAGGAACCGGAATAATTTTTTTTAATATTCTAATTTTCTGTGTTACACTAGGTCCAATATGTGGCAGCAAATATACCTCCATCTTGGAACTTTTTTCTATTCTTCATCGTTCTTTTCCCTGTTTCCATTGTTTTGCTAACTTATCTTCCATTGGAGCTTTGGATGTTTGGATGCGCTCTGCTCATTGCAGCTCATATTACCAGTGAAACATGACCTACTGCGGCCTACAGTGTTCCCCCCAAGAGAAATGTATGTTTTATTTTTGTCCATATAAAGAATGATTTCTACATACATGATCAAATATGTATTATTGTAAAAAACAAAATTACAACTTCATAATGAAATTGTGTATTTTGGTTAATATAGTCACATAGAAATTGTTGCTAAAAAAAAATCTGTACCCCACTTAAGGGGCCCCCTGTTGGCCCCGGGGCCCTACGCGGCCGCTTAGTTTGCTATGCATTGGGCCGGCCCTGCACTTTTGAATGCATTTTACCATCAAAAAGGGTCTGTTCCCTTTATTTTCATTCAGGTACGCTTTAATACCCACTAGCAAAAGTGACGCTTACTGTATTTACTACCCAACTGTGTATGTATGCTTACATAGAGAGAGGGAGGATTTTCAAACTCCATACTGAGAATGGCAAAATCTGTCAGTTACTAATATGTCATATTTCAAATGAGTCCTGCACTTGTTGATATGACTATTATTTGTTCATTTCTCTGTTATTTTATTTAAAAATTCTGTAAATATTGAACTGCAAAGGTGAGATATTTGTTTATGTTTCAAATATAATTTGCACTCAAGAGTACAATTATTTCTGTTTAACCGTTAGAAAAAAGTTAGTGTTAAAAAAGTGAAGTTAAGTGAATATTCAATTGCATATGATATGCATGTTTCAAATGAACCAAAAGACATGCTTAAGATCGCTGAAATTAAATTAAAAAGCAAATGTGAAACACAGAATGGCTTGCTGAAATGTGTTTAAATATATTGCTGTTCTATGTAAAGAACGATCGCCAAGGTCGGCCCCCCCTACATTTTTAACACACCAAATCTGGCCCCCTTTTCAAAAAGTTTGGACACCCCTGGCTTACATAGAGAGAGGGAGGATTTTCAAACTCCATACCAAGAATGGCAAAATCAGTCTTTTTGAGCCTTTGGTGTTCCCGTAGTTCTTCAGGCTCTTAAATGCATAGACATATAGACATAAATACGTAGACCCCTCATGGGGCGGGTCGGCCCGTTGCTGCGATACGTAACAGCGTCCGCCATATTGAATGTGGAATATGTGCCAGTAAGCTAATACAAGTAAATGGACCGAACTTCACAAAGTGCCGTTCTACAAAGTATTGTAAATTAATACCTGTCATTGACATATTTTCTCACACATTAATATTTTTGGCAATCAAAGAAATGACTAAAGACAGAGTTTCTAACTTTTGATGTGATTATTTAATTGTTTTGGGGCATTTCTGAATAAAGAGCGCAATGTTTTTATTTGATAGAAGTTATTCTGACCATTTTTATAATGACATTGATGAACAGACACACTTTTACAGTGTTTTATTAAAGAATATATCCATAATTGCTATAATTCCATAATTTAATGTACATTTAACATTTCAAGACAAGAAAAATAATAATTTTGTTGAATTTATTTTTTTTATACATTATTGAGAAATGACTTTTGATTTATAAATCAGTCATTGACAAACATTAAACTACATATTTTTCTTACTTTTTTCCAGAGAAAAAAAAATATTACAGAATGTCAACTCTGCTATTGACAGCAAAGAGTGAAAATAATTCTAACAGAGTAAATTATTTTTATTTCATTATGTAAGCTGTATTAATACACTAATACTTCAGATTGAGATATTTAAAAATACACAAAGTGAAAGAATAAAACATTTATTTATTATACTGAGAACACTGGCCACAGGCTTCAGTCTGCTGGTCACACTGGGAGAACTCCAATGACTTCTGAGACGTCCTGGTTCACAGACTAAACGCCAAGGATAAAAGAGAAATTATCCAAAAGTGTAATAGAAAATACATATATGTTTCCTTCACATTCAGTAAAAGACATTTTCAGCATGTTGGGCTCTGACTCGTAGCATCTATGATAGAAGCTGAGCTGGGAAACAGACTGAAGAACAGCAGCTCCAGCTCCAGCTCCAGCTGACTGATCTTTAAATCCCCTGATCTTTAATGAACTTCTCCTCTGACAGCGGTTTTTCATCACCTCTCTCTCATTAGAAAACAGTATGAAAACGTTAGCTGCTACGCTAACAATCAGCGGTTATTTCGGGCCAATTAAGCTACATAGGAAATATTTTTCGGTTGTTTAGAAGCGAATTTCTGGCTGCAAAGTCAAGTAATTCTGATCTTTCATCCTTACCTGGGGAAGGTAATCCTAATGAATCCAGATTGTATCGTAAAACGGTTGAAACAAGTCCACACAGCACAGGACTTAAGGAGCTCCGATTGCTCTGCTGCCACATAGAAGATGGCTGACGCTGTTACGTAGGACTCAGTACACGTATTGATGTCTATGGACATATGTCTATGGTTAAACGGAGTCAAGCTATCGGGTAAGTAATTCTCGTCACAACTGACATCTGCACCTAAACACGTCCCACTCATAGGTAAGTTCGGTCACGTTTGTTTTATCACAAAATATTAGCATGGAAGGCAAATATAGCGTAAATAACTGTCAAAAAGATAAGTAAATGATTCCAACATTCGTCTAAAAGAAAACATATTTGTGTGATTACAGACGTAAGAAATTTACAATTAATTTTGTTTTTCCAATAGCCACAAAATAAATTTAAAAAGTGAAAAGTTTTGCCTATTTTTGCTTAGATGTTTCTACAATTCGGCTGTAAATAAAGTCCCAAACTATGTCTTCGCGTTGTAAATATACACTCATCACTGTTATTCATTTGCTTACAGTAAGCTTAAACATTCATCATGTATTGCCTGTGAGTCTTTAGCAACAGGAGTTCGCTCTGTTACCCACTGACCTTTAACCTATATTTAGAGAGAATTTAAATTATAATTTGAATCACATTTGTTTTGTAACTCGAAATTATGCGTCATGTCTGAGACTTAATGACACTTTAACGCTGACTTTGTCAAAGAGGGCTTTACATCACATACCTGTTAATAATATATTTTTAAATAAGCTTCCTAAGAGTTTTTAATTAGCTTCTCCACCAAAATGTAGAAATTGACCGCAACAATCTAATCTCCTGATAGATTTCTGCAGCTGTGTTGCTTGGGGTTTATATACACATACATATTATATTACATAGTAATATAATATATAGATACGTATTATATTACATAGAATATATATTATACATAATTTTATTATTATATGAATATTAATAATAGTAATATTCGTAATAATAATATTATAAACAAGTTTACATCTTGAAAATTTGAATCCATCTAAAATCTTTTTGGATTGTGAGAGGAAGCTGGGAGACCTGGAGAGAAACTAACCCTAACCCTAACACAACATTAATTTTTGGTATTAATTCACTTTTTTTTTTCTTTTTTTTTTCTTTTTTTTTTACTCACACCTAAGGAGAACTTAGAGAGACCAATTAACCAAACGTCATGATTTTAGACTATGGCAGGAAGCCAGGAGCCAGGAGAGAACCTGCAAACAGGAAACTGGTAAAATCCTTTTACCAGTTAAGCTGCCAATGCTTATCTTTAAAATTTCAACAAAAAACAAGTAAAGAGGAAAAAAACGATGGCAAAACAGAAAAGTG